TTTTGAAGAGAGTGTGAACAACCCCACGCAAACATGGGTCGGTTATATCAATAAAAATGTTTCACTTCATTTCTACATACAATCTACGTCCAATCCACCAGTCACCAATGCTTCTGCAGAACCCCGAAAATCCAGAAAAGCCCCTGATTGCTGCCGGTTAAGAAGAATGTCCCGCTGAAAGGAGTAAAAGGAACAGCCCCGGCGGTTTATCCGATCCATGGTCGGTGGTCAGTGGTTGATCAATGGTCATTCGATGACTGGTTCCTTCATGTTATAAATAAACATCATTACATAACAAATATTAGTATAAATAGATATAAAATTACATGTCAATAAAACAGACGTGCATCATCTGGTGACCTCTGCTTTCTATTTCAGTCAAAAAGGTAGAAAAATTAAGGGATTTTCACCAGCAGACCTTGGGGTACCGATAGTGTGGTGGATAGTAAACTGCACGTCATGCAAACCAGAGGTACTGGGTTCCATCCTGCACGGTGCCCACCCTTCCTGCCAGCGTGAGAGGCAGGTGATGCCACACAGCCTCACCAGCTGAGTGCGTTGTAAAGTTCGGATGACACACACACCGGCATGAATATTTGGTTAATCCTGGTGTCTCACCGCCCCCCCCCCCCTCCACACACACACTTTCTGGTTACACACTGGTTATGCCGGGCGTACACCCTCCCCTGGTTACGCGATCTTAAGCGTAACGTCCATAAAAGATAACGTCTGCTTGACCTCTAAGTGAGCTAGAGGTGAGAAAAAGACAGGTGTGTTGGTTGTCGTGCGACGAAGCCAACGCTATCCGGCTTTAAGGTTTTAAAACATTACAAAAACAACATTTTAGCACGATTTGCAACAACATCTGACCACAACTTTACGCTGTCCATTCTCTCCTCTTCCCCTTGCTATGCTTCGGCGACGCTCCTCAAAATACCTCCTCTCGCATGCTGACGAAACGTACGACGAACCGCAGGCAATTGCTTTACTTTTCCAAAACATCGTTGTCCTGGTTCAGGTAATAGCTTACCCAGATTGTCAAAAGTTAGTAAAATCTGCTGCAGACGATCATGTGTTCTGAACGAATGACACAGGCCGTACGTCCACAGGCCAACACGCTAAATGCGGGTGGCCCTGCCCCCCCCCCCCCCCCCGCCCCGCCCCTGCCTCAAGCCTCCCTACTTTCCGCACTCGCGAGCGGGGCTTGTGTGAATAATTTTGAGTGATGGGGAGGGGGTACTTTCCAACAATATGACCAGCTTTCAACGTGGACTCGTCCAAAGATAACATTTCTGCCTTAGATTTAGGTCACTCTGTGCTTGATGACGGGAGCTCAACTCCGGGCGGATCCAGGATTTGGTAAAGGGGGCGAGGGGGTGGGTGGGCACGCAGCATTGAAGCACGCAGCACCAGATATCATATCAAGTATGACCTAATATCCAAATGAGTGGATACTTGTCCCTTTTCCCCTTTAATATGTAATTATGGATGCATAATTAATGGATCATTCCTTTTTTACTGGTTTACGCCAATGTTTGACATTTCCTCACTACATGCCGTGTTTTTCATAGGATGCACAATTGCATGAACGTGTTTTAATTACATCTAACCTATTTCATAGATCTAAATTAGGTTAATAGCCTATGTCATAGATTAAGTGTATGAGAAATCTGTCCTCGTTGCCCAGTGACTAACGGGGTGGGTTTATATGAATCCAAAATATGGTTCTAGGACAAAGAGTAGCATTTGGCGAATGCCTTTTTGTCGACTGCTGAATGCTGACTGCGGAATGGTGGCAAGCAAAAAAGTCGACGAGGCAAAAGTCGTAACGGCTAAATGGCGAACTGCAAGAAGGCGAGCTGCAAAAAAGTCGACATGACGAAATAGCGAAAATTTTCGTGACGAACTGCAAAATGAGAGCATGCAAAAAGGTCGATATACCAAATTGGCGACCGGCGAAATGGCGAACAGCAAAATAGCAGCCTAGCAAAACATCACTATGTGATATCAACGGACGGTAAAAGGGCGAAATACCATGTCATGCTTGGATTTGGTGCTAGGGAATGACGGCCTGGAAAACGTGGACATATCAACGTGTTCTAATGGCTGCCTGGGCTTCTCGCGACATGGCAGGGCGGGGATTGACGTGGCATGGCGAGGCAGGGCATGGCGGACAGTGGCATGGCGTTTGTCAAGCATGACTCTTAAGCAGTTCAACCATACTGGAGGGTTTGCCAATTTGGCTTATTGACCTTTTTGCATGTCGCTATTTTGCGTCCCACCATTTAGCCGTTCACCATTTCGGCATGCCTACGTTTTGGTATGTGGTTATTCTGCAGTTCACCAAGTTGACCATTTTGGCATGTCGCCATTCCTCCATGTTGCCATTTTGCAGTTTTCTATTTTGCCGATCGGACTTTTTAGCATGTCATTTACATTATTATCATTACATTTGCATTATTATCACCATTATTTACATGCCGTCAATATGGAAGTCATCATGTAGCAGTTGGCAAAAAAACATTCAGTAACGTTCCCCTTCGGCTAACTGATCGATCTTTCCAGCCGTCCAGCCGGCAAACCGAAAATTAACGTGGTTGATCTGAATGGGTGGCTATCGTTACGTGAAACGAAGTCATCGGAAAACATTAAGTTCATAGGTTGACCTTACGGTTAATGGCTCAAACCGGAGCAGTAACTGTTCCACTCTGCTTTTGTAGTGTCATGTCGAGTCCCCCCCCCCCCCACCACGCCTGACAGGTGCAGCTCGTGGTGGGCCGCTCCACCCCCGCACCTGACAAGGGCGGCTCGTGGCGGGCCGCTCCACTCCTGCACCTGGCAAGGGTGGCTCGTGGCGGCCGTTCCACCCCCGCACCTGGCAAGGGTGGCTCGTGGCGGGCCGCTCCACTCCTGCACCTGGCAAGGGTGGCTCGTGGTGGGCCGCTCCACCCCCGCACCTGACAAGGGCGGCTCGTGGTGGACCGCTCCGCCCCCCCCCCCCCCCCCAGCCCCGCCAGGTGGGGGGGGCCACCTGACAATGGCGACTCGTGGCGGCCGTTCCACCCCCGCACCTGGCAAGGGTGGCTCGTGGCGGGCCGCTCCACTCCCGCACCTGGCAAGGGTGGCTCGTGGCGGGCCGCTCCACCCCCGCACCTGGCAAGGATGGCTCGTGGCGGGCCGCTCCACCCCCGCGCCTGACAAGGGCGGCTTGTGGCGGGCCGCTCCACCCCCGCACCTGACAATGGCGGCTCGTCGTGGGCCACGGCAGTTGGTCCGGCCGGGAGTAACGGTGACGTCGGGCAGGCGCGGTACGAGCGGATGGGGGGGAAGGGGGGGGGGGGCGGTACAAGCGGGGTAGTCAAGGCTGAGCACACGTGCAGAGAAGCCTGGTTCGCTTGGAGTTGTGTTATGTTAAATGCAATGCAAGTCTGATTACCAAAGGACTTATGAGGAGTCGCAGTGACGGAGAGCCAGGCGAAATACTGCAGGTTTATTTGCGCTTTGTTTAACAGGGAGTGTTCCACATTTGAGTGAGTTTTCAAACTAAAATAGCCATCTTGAAGAGCGTTCGGCGTTGTTCACAGCCCTGCTCTTCTTAAAAACTAGACCCTTCTAACTTCTGAGCTACACGCCCGCGTAAACGTGTAGACTATTTCGGGCAGCTATTTCAAGGTCACCCAGGCATCCATGACGCCATTATAACGTCATTCAAACCATGATCTTCAATTAGCCTTGCAGTGTCCAAGGCCAATAAGAATATAATCGTCGAGTCGTACATTTCTGGCGTTCGTGAGTACGATTTCGAGACATAACGGCCGTTAATTGGCTTTCAATCAATGTTGAGCAATGCACTATGACGCAAGCAAACGATAACGTCTTGAGGAGCACGTTAACTTAACCCTTTTCAGCCCCTTTCCCTTTTCAACCCGAACCCTTTACAAAATTTGCAGCAGTCTTCATCGTCGTTAGCTCTTGGAAAGAAACCCACCCAGGCCAAACTTCGATGACCATCCTCCCAGAAGCCCAGCCACAACACGCACAACACAAGGATGCAAACTGTATTACTACACGAAGGCACTTGGAATGCAGGCGCTCAGCGCAGCGGTGCGGGAGGTGCACCGGCGGGCTTCGGCGCCACTAACCTCCGGCTTTACAGCCGTCACGCGCTCTCGGCGCCAGCACGAGCGCCAGCCGACAGACAGCGTGGCATGTGACAGGCGCAGTCACCCACGCCCCCGCCACACTGCCTTGCAGGCGGTTCACACACAATGCAGACACTCGCCGGGCTAAATAACATCCTCCTTAGCAACAGCATACTCACATATGACTCTGTATGAAGCTAAAAGATGCCACGACACCCCACTATGTCACTTACATCCTGCACGACTAATATTCTGACTTAAAGATCGAAGATGACAGCAAGTCTCGCAGGCCTGCATTAGGCTTCGAGCCAGGTGAAAATTGACGCTGCAATTGCTCGAATGTATACTGAATCAAGGTAGGTGCTTCAAAATACTGATATGCTACCAAAAAACTTTCTGCAGTGTAGCAATAATAAGAAATAGCAAAGCTCGTAGCACACTTCTAGTTTTGGTAGCTTTGATGCGTAACGATGAGAGTCACTGGCACACAGGGTGGCAGTCTGTAGGAAGTCTCCCACAGATCCTACTAGAATCGACCCATGAAGTCAACTTGATAGGAAATCGAAAACAAGTTTATTTTCTGTGAGTTGAAAGGAGAAGCGTTATCTATACAACGGAATAAGATCTGGCCTGATATCCGTTGAAAAAATGCACCGGCAAAACTACCGCATTTACCAAAGAATTTTAGCCTTACGTGGATATGTGATGGCTACCGAATGACCTCTTAAGTGCGAAGGACTTCAGTGGGCAGGTTAGACTGTTTATCCAGCTGGTCGAAGTTCTTCGCAGTCGATGGGTAAGCACACCATTGCAAACTGTCGCCAACATCGGTGCAGCCACGTCTCTGAGATTGGGGGGGGGGGGGGGGGGGGTGTGAGGCGAAACGCAAACCAGTGCACTTAAGATATGACCACTATTAGCAATGTGCTGGGGACTGCTATCACATCGAACTCCGGTTAGTCACAAAACGACGATTCTAATTATTGCAGAATAGAATGCTCGTGCTCAATACCCATGCAACTTCATGAGTGGATCTAAATAGAAACGAATTAATACAAACGCACAAAAGACATGTCGGCCATAGCGCAGCATGATTATGGGTATAACTGCTGCCAAAACGGGAGACAATGCACTGTTGACCACGCAAAATGTACATACTTGGTCGTGAACTAATTGCTGCCGAGCACATATCTCAACAGTTTGGCTGGCCGTAAAGTTCATATGGCCTAAAGCTAGAGCAGGATGTTTGTAAATGTGGGGAAACATCCACGCCGTAAGCTCAAAAGGCAGGTCTTTCACCTGTCATATCTTATAAATGTAACGCAGAGTTCGCAGTCGTAGCGTGTTGTGACGAATACACTCCCAACGGGCATCATGGGTACGTATATAACAATGCAAGCGTATGTAGGCACTCTTCTAATCACTCAACTTCCGTTCCACCCCGCCCAGCCACAAACGAGTTTCGGCACATGATCTGGTGAGAGAGGCGTACGCTGGGTGTCGGACAGGGACAGCGAGGGGCGCCCGCGGCACTGCACTAGCGTAGGCTGGTGGGAGGGACATAGGCTGGGTGTCGGGCTGGGGCAGCGAGGCACTGCACTGGCGCGGGCTGGTGAAAGGGACGTGCAACGTGGGCACTAGGTTTGCGGCATGTTTGCTGACAAAGGCAACGAAATCAACGCAGAAGCTAGATGGGACATGAAGACATAGCAGCTAGAAATACATAAACTATATAGAGTTAGTTAGACTGCCTAAAAGTTGGACACAGCAGCAAGATGAGTCATGACACTTGCAATGAGCATAAACCCGGTAAACGTGCACCATCTGACAAGCCCTTGTGTCAGTTAACGGCACCGGCGGCGAATGGCAGTGGACCTTCTGGGGAGAGTGGGCGAGGCAAACAAACTTATTATATCATTTCCTGCCATTTAATGCTGCATGAGGTTCCCGTGGATTTTGTTTTCCAAAGATGAGGGCGGCTCCCTCTGCTGTCTCTCCCTCCGTCGCTGGAGACTGGGACCGGATGTAAACCACCGGACAACCAAATACCGTAGACTGGGCCGGATGTAAGCCATTGGACGACCAAGTACTGCAGACTGGGACCGGATGTAAGCCACCGGGCCAACCCAATACCGTATACTGGGCGAGATGTAAGCCACTGAACAACCAAATACTGCAGACTGGGGCCGGATGCAAGCCGACCTCACACTCAGCGCCGGTGCCCATTTGGGGACGCTATGCCGGCGCGCTGGCGGCCGTCGGACTGCGGCCCACCAGAAGCGGAGAGCTGCCCTGCGCCTCGTTCCGTTGACGTATTCACGAGGGGCACCAGGGCACGACTTCCTGTATCAAACCTTACCATGCATATTAACATATACCCGGTGAGTAAGTGTTGATAATACAACAGTCATGGAAGATGCTATTCAAAGAAAACAGTCGGAATAAAATCATTGAAATGAAAAAAGGCACAATGACATGCATTGAATTAAACCAGACGGTGTCCTAATACGACCTGCAAGAGAAAACGTGTACTTGCAATTCGCTGAAATGGCTTTTCGGTGAAGGATTGTGTGCTGTGGCCCTATTACAAAATCCTGCATACACCCTGACTGTTCATAACCTCGGTGTGCCACATTTTCGAGCGTTTGAAAGTCATTGATTGACTGGTGATGGATTGGTGGATCGATCTTAATTGATCTTCCAGATATTACTCTTGACGTGGCTAAACATCCCGCCAGCCGTGCAGCTGGTCCCCAGCCAAGCCGCGAGAAAAGCGGCGCCCCCCGCTGTCCGCCAGCCTGCAAGAGAAGCAAGCGCCCCGCGCTTTCTGACAGGCCACGAGAGACGCAAGCGCCCTGTACTGTCTGCCAGCCTGCAAGAGGAGAGGGCGCCCCGCACTGTCCGCCAGCCTGCCAAAGTAGCGAGCGCCGGGCGCTGTCCGCCAGCCTGCGTACGCCCCGGCAGGTGCGGCGGCCTCACCGCCTCTGCAGCACCAGATCGTGCCTCAAACTAAAAAAGACGGCAGAGGGTACGAGTCCTTGTCCCGCCGGTCGTCCTCCACCTTGATGACGTCACCCATGACCTCACTGGTGATGTCACTCTCGGCGCGCGCGCCCGGCGGCGGCGCGAACTCGGGGCGGGGCGGAGTCTGCGCGAACAGGCAGTCGCTGATTGGCTGCGACGAGACCGGGTAGGCGGAGTAGGCATTGACGGGCGGCGGAGCCGAGACCAGCCCGGACGGCGGCGGCGGCTGCTGGTACGCGTACGCGTTGGTGTTAAAGAGGTTCACGTGACTGTCGTAGCTGTTGGCGTATGACCAGTCGGGCACCGGCGAGTAGTTGTTGACGCTGAATGAGTTGATGGGCGCTCCGAGCAGCGGGCCAGAGGACACTGCAATGAAACGGGCGAGCCGTCACACACTGTCCGCTGGTGGGCTGGCGTCGCGCCGGTACAGTGCGAGACCAGAGTTGCATGGTCCATTTACGGAGTCAGAATGCTCTACAAATGAATACATTAGCCCTGTGCCACGATTCCAACGTAGTATGTATACCCCAGGGCAGTGATCAGAATGGATGGAGCTTTGTATGTCCTTGGAGGGCTTTACCTCCGCCAAGTCTCTACCACTGTGTTCTCAATATCATGTCAGAATCACCAGCAATTCCTTAAAAAAAAAACACACACACACACACAAAGGCGAGTGCTCAACGCTTTGTGGGGGACCCGGTCTTCAGTTTCCAATCGGTTCTGGTCAGGCCCTGTTCATGGGATGCAGCGCAGGTCTACCTACACACGGCACCGGCACCCAGCACAGCCATCACCCACGGGATCAGGGCCCAGATTTAGCAGCGCTAGAGCTCGCGATGGGCCCGATGGGGGTGCGGTGCGCGCCGCCCGCCGCCGACCAGACCCCTGGGCCACACTCACTGCCAGGCACGTAGTTCTTGCGCGGCGGCTCGCGCTTGCGCCACTTGGCGCGCCGGTTCTGGAACCAGACTTGCACGCGCGACTCGTTGAGGTTGAGCTTGAGCGCCAGCTCCTCGCGTGCGAAGATGTCCGGGTAGGGGGCGCGCTCGAACGCCCGCTCCAGCTCGTCCAGCTGGTAGGCCGTGAACGTCGTCCTGCGGGGGGGGGGCATCAGCTGACCGGCCCGACACGGCCTCACGCGCACCGCGTCAGGCACGCCTCCTCCGAGCAGGTGGTGGATCACCGGGCACGGTAATCTCTCAACCGGCGGTGTGACTGGACATTGGTTCGGATTTAGAGGGAAAGAACCGCCGTAAAAGCCGCGGCCGCGCCGCTCCGGCTGCTCTTCTGTTGTCCGCCGCCAGTTCTGACTGGCAATGGCACTGTGCCTGCAGTGAGTGGTAGTTTGTCGATAACTGTGCCAGCCATTGCCTTAGCCTGCGCCCGGTGAGCGGTACGCGCTGGGCCCTGCGCCCAACATTACAGCAATGGTTCCCAAGCGTACCTGGTTTTCTTTTTCTTGACTCCAGAATCGTTCTTTTTGGAAGATTTCTCAGACTTCTTTGTCTCCGACGCAGATGCTGTAATAAAAATGGAGGTAGGTTGTTAAAACCCTGGAATACCAACGCTGGCGATCATGATGATACCATCGTAAGCAAACACAACTTAAAATACAACAAATACAACCGTCATTGCAATCACACAAAACAGAGGTACGTCATACGACTCACCACGGTGCCCAACCTTCCTGCCTGGACAAGAGGCAGGCGACGCCATATGCCCTCACTTGCTGAGTGTGCATTGAAGTTCCAATGGCGACACAACAAACGCTAGCGTCAACGTAACCTGTCCTGCAATCTGTCGCAATCACTGGTATGTGAGCATGCAGGTCAAGAAGTTTGTTCTTCTCTCATGAGGCCAGCAAAACTACAGTGCGGTGAATGTAGGAACAGGTGATGACGTGGGCGAGGAAAATGGTGGATAGTTTTTGGGAGAGCATGCCGCGTTTTAGATTTAAAGACTTTATGTTTGTGCAAGCATGCATGTGTTGGCCCAAACCTTCCTATGCGCCACATTCAAGCCGAAATGTTACGCTGTTCTTTTATCAACAAAAATCCGGCAACGGCAGAGGTGAGTCCGACAGGGTCACGGCCTGTGTGTTCCGGCGCCTTTGTACTTAACTGCTTAAAGGGATGTTCCACATTTGAAGATATCGAATTAAGCATTCGGTATGATAAAATAAGCTCGTTTTTAACTACTGGCACGCATCTAAGTGGAAAACACTGCTCTAGACACAACGCCTTCTCGATTCAGTAAATACGCTCATCGACACGCCATTGTGTGATTACGTTGTCGCACCTTGCACAGCACTGATTGGGAGCCAATGCACGGGCGTTATATCTGGAAATGGTGCGCACGAACGCCAGATATGAACGACTCGACAGTTCAATTTTCTTGACCTTGATCGCCGCATGGCTTATGGAATGGCAGGATTTGAATAACGTTATTATGGTGTCATGGATGCTTGGACGAACTTAAACTACTGTAAACTCTGTTAGCTACTGTAAACTACCGTAAACTCTTAAACTCTGTAAACTACTTGCAAGTAGCTTCCACATCGTCTGCACATCATCGCGGACGTATAAGCTCAGAAACTGGAGGCGTTCCAGGTCTTAAGAAGGTCAGGCCGCGAACTACACCAAATGACCTTCAAGATGGCATTTAAGCTCAAAACCCAAAACAACTGTGGAACTCTCTATTTAAGGGGTCTCCGCCGCCGCGCCTGTTATGTTTACTGCCAAATTTTCCTTACTTTACAAATATAAATTTTAGTTTATTCTAGCAAAATAGCAATTAGCTGGGTTGGGTGGGTAAAACAGGATGAGCAGGACTGATCACTAGGCTGGTGCAGTAGGCAAAAAGACTTGCGCCGGGTCTCCGGCAGCCTTGCGCTGGGTCCGCAGCAGACTTACGCTGAGTCCCTGGCAGCCTTACGCTGGGTCCCCGGCAGACTTACGCTGGGTCCCCGGCAGACTTACGCTAAGTCCGCAGCAGACTTACGTTGAGGCTGCGGCGGCGGCGGCGGCGGCGGAGGAGGAGGCGGCGGCGGTGGCGGCGGCGGCGGCGTCACCGGCACGCTGCCTTGCGGCGTCAGGTCGGCCAGCGAGGTTGCCAGCAGACCTTGGTCCCCGCCCACACCGTACGACAGGTTCAGGTCATGGCCCAGGCCCAGCATCACCTGGATAGAGTGGAAGTTGCGCTGGTCCGTCTGTGGACGTGGGAGTTACGTGATCTGTGACGGGTCGTGGACGCAGCCTGGAAGTGGTGGCCAACGGTGTCTATTACCTTGGTGGCCACCAGCCTCCGCCGACATACCGGAGACGTCACTAACGATGACTGCGCGGCTTCCCCGTCAGTCGCCGCCGCATACGACTTGTCCATTGTCCTGTCCGGGAGTTCGCTAAAGTCCATTGCATATGGACTTTAGCGAACTCCCGAGATTTTTGCCGCGCGTATGAGGGAGGACGTACAGTATTCCGGTCTGTGATGTCTGGAAGCCAAAGAAGCGGTCAAAAGTTGTCCTTTTTCTTTTTTAAGGCGATTGATTTTATTCTGTGTTTAGAATTAGGATCAATGAGCTTGAGCAATGGACATGAAGACGGTCTGTTTCAGCTTTTAGCACACTTGCCTGAAACGTCTATCGCTAGAAACAATTACCGGCCATGTCCCTTAAATATAGGAAGCCAACGTCATTTAACAAATAAGGCATTCTGTTAGGTGCCGTTCAAGGTATCGCAAATCAACATTTGGCTATCAGACTGCAGCATGTTAGGGACAAGGCGATGTCCTGATCAACGTGCGGTGCAGGTCAGCACCCACGCCAGCCGCTGAGCAAGACAGCTTTGTTAGCAGGGTGGCAGCGGCGCCAGCGCCATCACCACGCTGGCTCCGGCCGTCAGCCGAAGTTTCGGACGGGTGTGGCAGCTTTCACGTCAGCCTTGCTTAAAACGAGAATAATTTACATGCTCATATTTTAAGTTTTATAATTATGAGAATGTCTTTATCCCATTTTTTTTTATTTGACGAGAAACACTTGAGCGGATGTGCCAAACCAGCTTTTCTCAGCATTCGCCGCTGGCAACTACGACTTACGAGAGTTCAAAGATGCAAAAATACCACAGATGCTGACCTGTGTGTCTTAGTTGCATGTTTCATTTTGCAAGAAGTTTTTTTGGTTTTTGTTTGAGGAGTGTAAACTACGTCAAAGTTGTGCAATAGGAATGCAAATTCTTCGGAGAACGGAAGATTTAATCGTTCAGCACGATTTGCGAAATTTCTGACAGGCAGAGCATCCTCTAAAAGTTTGGAGAGAGAACACCAACACACTTTTGTAATTCATTCTTCAAATCTAACGGTATTGAATCAACGCTAATATTTGTTTAGCGATGGGAAGCGTTCGTAATTCTTGAAATTTGCAGTGGCGGGGGTGAACGGACGACTAAAAAGTCTGAACAAAAAGGCAAGCGACATGTTTGCATGTTGTCTTACAACATCGCACGCTCCATTTATTTCTGTGGGACAATCTCCATTTGTAGTTTTTGACATTTTGTACACGTGGATATCAAAGCATTAAAAATGTGTTGTGGGGGCGTATGACACTGGTGTGCCTCCCCTGAAGACGTCACTGGACATGGGCAAAAGCAAATTCCTGATTGCTAGTGATTCGTACTAAGAAACGCCGCCGCAAAGCTGTAACTGCACAAACGCACTAAACTTGAGCAAACCATTCAGCTGATGTCGCAAGTGACCCAAAAGAGCACACAACGAAGCGAATTGGCAAAATGACTGGCTCGGGGCGCGCCGCAGCGCCGCCTGCCGGAGCCGCCCGCGGTGCCGAGCTGCTGAGCTGCTGAGCTGCTGAGCTGCGGAGCTGGCGTCTCACCTGCGCTTTGGAGCTGCCGGCGCTCGACGTGGCTGCATACAGCGACTGCTGGTACTGGGAGAGCATGCCGTGGCCGGCTGGGGCGGCCGGCTGGCCCAGGTACTCGTGCTGCTCGCCGCTCATGACTGCGCGCCGCCGCCCGAGGGGCGACACCTGGCGAACGGAGGCCGACCAGCCGTCCGAGCAGCAGCTCACCGCGCCGGGCGGCCGCCAGGTAAACGCAGATCGCGCGCAATAATCACCAATCGCGGCTCAAATTGAAATGAAAGGACAAACCGACTAAACTAACTCAATGAGCTTCAATGAAGTCAGATGATTTTGCAACAGCTTTACATTGGGTTTATATATCTCGTTAAGCGCCGCCCCGCCTCACTCCAGGTCCACCAATCAGCGAGCTCTTCTGCACTGACGTCACGGCACGTGCCGCCGGTTTGGTGGCACGCGCTGCCCGCAGAGCCACGCCGCATAAAATACGCGTCGAGCCAGTTTTAACCATGGGAAAATCATTATCGCTCCCCATCGATTGTTATCTGGCTGCCCATCTCGCCCACCACTGGTCGTCAATTATTCTTGTTAATTATTCCAGCATATTGTTAATTGTAACTCGATTCAAAGGACCTCTCTTGCGCACCACGTCCATTCAACGGGAAAACAATAAGCCGAGAAGAGGGCTATTAAAAGGCTAATTCTGCCGGGCAGGGGGCGCGAGCAGGTTTTGTTCTGCCTCTCGGATAGCACGCGCCAGGGTCGGCAGCGGCGGGGGGGAGGGGACAGTCTCCGGGCATGGGGGATGGCCCCGGCCGGGCCGTGCGTCCGACGGTCGCCGACTCCGCTGTACGCGGGGATGACGCGGCTGTGTGGATGGCGCACCCGAACGCTTTAAATGCCCGTGAAATCGCCACATGAGCTGGACGCAGGTGCGGCTGCAGCCAGAGGCTGTGGCCTGCTGGGAACGATCGGGGGGAACGGGGGCTGGCAGGTGCCGCTGGCTGGTGCGGTGTCACTGATCTCACGTTACACAGTTGTGGATTAGCTCGATGATGATCGCTGGAGGCGATAGCTAGCAGATGGGGTAGCTAGACGTAAAGTCCAGTGCCTCGTTAAGATCTTGCTCTTTGTTATGGAAACGCGTCACTTTCGTCCGCCGCTTACCTGCGGGCCCGCTTTGTTCTTGTTTCCTCAAAATTCATCCCACTGCTCCGCGCCTCCCAGGCAAAAATGTGGTGCCGAATGTTTTGTACGACTGGTTTTATGCTCTTGGCAAATATGAAGCGAAACTTGTTCCGCGTTTCCTGATTCGTTATTTCGATAATTTTTAGCAGCCTTTGTACCATGCAAAATTGCAAAGGATTTGTGCTGCCGTGCAGTCGGCCCCGTCTGGCCAGTTGCCAGCAGACCTTTCTTCGCCAATGAACCAAAGCTCCAGCACGGTCACACGGGCCAGGTTTATCACGTTTGACCAGTCGCACGAGCTTTTTTCGGTTATCGGGTCGCGGGGCACGCCAGCCTCCAGGGGGCCGTACCCGGCACCATGCACTGTAAGTCCAGCATCACTCCATGCAGCCATGGACAGCCTCGGGGGTCGTACCCGACACCACACACTGTAAGGCACGCGAGCCTCGGGGATCATATTCGGCGCCACGCAATGTAAGTCCAGCACCATCACATGCCGCCAAGGATCCCTATTCACAGATTTGAAATGCATGCCCAGACTAGACACGCGCTTGCGCATCCAATCGATGTACAGTATATGAACATGTCGTGCAAGCCGCCAAAAGGCCTTGACACATCCAATCAAGGTACTAAATACCAACACGATTTCTTCGGCTGTACTATGTGGTGTTGATTAGCACCTATCTCCCGTCTGGGACACAGACAGCGATCACGACATTAAATCCAGCTATACGGGAATTCATGATCCTCCTATCATTCATTTATGCCAATCTGCCGTTCTTTTAGCTCATCTGAAACGGCATTTCGTTCGCACCGTTCCGGCCGAAGATTTACCGCGGGATTATGCAAATCCATAAGGACAGGAATAAAAAACATACTAACAACTATAGCAACAACATCGCTCATCTCGAAACGGCTGTTAGAGCCTTAGTTTTGCTGCTAGCATTTTTCATAAATTTGATGTTTTTTGTCCTTTTTGCTGGGCCGTTTTCGCGTTGATTGGAACACCTCCAATACAATACAATACAACACAATACAATCCAATACAATACAACATCTCCAAATACCTTGTCAGATTCCGTTGCTCACACAAAATATCAGCCACTTTATACGCTCCCGATCTTAACATCTTTCGGTAGCTTTAGGCTTCTTCTTATACAATAATTTAGAATTTCAGACCCGAATGACAACATTCTGGCCTGGCCACACATGGAAAAGTGGGTCACAAAAACAATGCCAGCTGTTATGCCAGCATGATAACAGCGGCACTGCGAGATTCTTGGTAAGCGAAGGGGGGGGGGGCGTGGTGAGCTCCCTGATGGTGAATGCCTCCCCTCGGGCTCACTTTAATTACTTTCAGGGGCCTAAGCCCTCCACGCTGATTTCACCGCCACCTCAAATCCTACTCTGAACCCCTCAAAGGTAGATGACACAAAATGCAGACAAATTCTGTGAAAGGTAATGATACATTTCTAAAGATATTGAAGCGAGCATCTGACATGATGAAATAAGCTCACTTAGAGCTATTTGTTTGCTTTTGAGTTGAAAAACTTCTTAAGACAACACAATTTCTCTATCTAGTAAATATGCCCAAGACGTCATTGCTTGATTGCGTCATCATACCCAGCACAACAGTGATTGAGAGCCAGTAGAGGGCCATTATATCTGGAAATTGTGCTCACGAACGCCAGATATGGATGACTCGACAATTATATTTCCTTAGCCTTAATCGCCGCATGGCTAATGGAACGTCAGGATTTTAATGATTTTATTATTACGTCATGGATGTCTGGGCGACCTAGAATTTTGCTCCCCGAAAAAGTCTGCACATATTCGCGGGGGCGGGCGTATCTCTGAAACTAGAGGGACTTACGTCTCACGGAAGGCAGGGCTGCGAACCGCACCGAATGATCTCCATGAACCTATTTCAGTTCAAAACCCCATACAAATGTGGAACGGTCTCTTCAGCTACTGGCACATCGAGGTACCACATGTTTTTTGTGATGCCAACTCCGTCATATGTCGGACCCCTCTGCAAATGCTCGGCAAGTTTTCACATGGCCTCCTGGGATTCACCAGGATTAAGGTAGAAAACAGCAGTCTGTGGCAGCTTTTAAAGTACAAGGTATCGCAGAATGGTGGGCACCACGAGTTTTGAGTTGAGGGATCGGCAAGATTTTTCAGGGGGCTTCCTGGACAAAACGAGCTTCCTGACGGGGGGGGGGGGGGTCCTGAGCAGCGTCGTATTCAGGGCAGAGGGCATCGAGGGCATGTGCCCTTTTTTCAAACTGTAACATGCATCATATCCATGCATGCAAATGTTGGCAGTTAGAAGAATCTAGTACGGGGCCTTTCGACAATCCAACAAGGAGTTTTACTAACCTAAAGCACTAAAGGGCCTCCCAATGCTTAGAGGGCCCCTAATCCAGAACTGAATGCTTACGATTCAAAAAGAGCCTCCAAATTTAGCCAAAGGGTCTCGCTATGCCAAAGCAGGGCACCCGGATCCGGAACCGCTACCATCTGATGCATGAAAGGGACCTCCTGTTCCAGAAATAAAGCCTCCTGAATAAAAAGGATGTCTCCTAGCCCAGAACAGGGCCTCCTAGTTTGCAACAGAGCTTCCAAAGCCAGCAAAAGGGCCAACTTAACAAAATATTGGGCTCCCTGATCTAGATTATTTGCTATCTCATTGATAAAGGTGACCTTAGAAACCAGAAAACAGCTCTGTTGATGTAGCAAAGGATCTTTTGACATATCTGTCGCAGAATCGTGGCCGTGGTGGTGCTCAACTGCGAACTGAAGGAAGAACATCATCAATGACAGCGCTAGCCATTAGTGATTCTACACCCGCCAGATAACAAAATGTGCTCCGAATGTCCCCCCCCCCTCCCCCCGGCAGTCACGAATTCGAGGGGCCCTTCGAACCCCCGAACACCGTCCTTGACCGACCCGGGGTCACTTGCCGACACAGGGCCCCCTGTTAGACATAGTGAGACCCCGGCCGATACAGGAGCTTATCATTGTTTCTTGGACCCCGACCAATGCAAAACGTGAGCCCCGGCCTGATTCCTGCTTCGGAAATGGGTCCCCAGGGCTCAAACCGACACGGAAACAAATGTTCAATGTTGGTGTTCTCTGGCCGAAACAAAGACCTCTTGTATGCCTCGTCGGACCGGGATGAGGCCCCACGCTAAGCAGCACTTGTTTGATGAACTATTGGCCCGGTCGTTAAAACCGGGTCAGTGGCAGAACGGTGACGGTTCTGATAAGTAGAAACGAAGTAAAGGATGATTGCAAAGTTAAATTTCAGTATTGGAACATCAGGGCTGAAGCCATCGGCTAAAATAATGTAAGTAGAAAACATCACTGGCGCAGAAGCGAACAGCGCGGCGCAGCAGAGGGGATAGTTGGCCCATTTCCGGCAGGGAGGGGTCCAGAGCGTGCTTTTGTTCCCTAAGAAATTTGGGAGGCCGCTTTTACTCAAGCAGAAAGTCTTGTAGCTACGCACATTTAATCAAAATTTTCAGACAAAATGACGAAAAATGAGGAGCACTTCCATAACTGAGCCCTGCATCGAGCCTCGTTTCCCTTTTCTCAGTGACCCTTCTCTGCACCGGAAACCCTTTTTTGGGGGGGGGGGCTCATGAGGGTTACATCATGGATTAGATAGCTCACGTTCTAAGTCAGGAGGCCCCGTGCTGTGTTACGGAAGTCCTTGTGCTGACGCAGAAGGCCCCCTTTGCACAAGGCACTGGCCATATGCATGAGGCACACGCATAAGGTACTTGGCATTGTTCTGGGTTAGGGTATATCCTTAAGTGTGTCAGGAGGTCCTTTTTCTGGAACAGATCTTTATTACGCATCAGAAGGCGCTGATTCGGATCGAGATACCTTTTTCGGGACAAGGAGGTCTTTTTCTGTATTTATAGGCATCTCTGTGAACCGGAAAATTCAAATTACCTATTAGGAGCCCCACGCTTCAGGAGACCCTATATTTGGGATCAGGGGCTTTTTCCCGGACTGAAGACTTCTGCACTGATCAGAAAGCCCCTGTTCTGGACTAGGGAAACGATTTTGCATTCGGAGGCCCTTTCCTGGACCGGGCGACTCACA